ACCGCCAGGGCGGGAAAGCGTGCCCGCGAGGTATCTGCGCGACAACGCTGCACACGCAATAGCACCTCGTGGGTATCAAGGCCTTCGGGCATGATGAGGTTCACCTGCTCGGGCGCGTACTCTTGAGAAAAGATCAAGAAGGGCGCAACGAAGTAACCGTGGGCGGACGTCAGCGCACCCGGCTCGGAAACAGAGTTATCCCGGTAGGGGGAGCGACTACGAGAACGTCGCTCGATGGGTCCGACGCCTCCAGCGACTGGCGGAGAACCAGGTGAATTCGTGCCAGCAGAGAGAGCCGACAACATCTCATCATCGGTGGGAGCCTCACTGTCGAAACCCTCGGCAACAGCAGCAGCCTCGGGATTGTGTGGCAAGGGAACATACGAAGCATAGATCACCCTACCAGGGCTCAGCAGACAACGGTCCTGTTCGCCTTCCAGTCCCTCCAGGTGAACACACCATCCAGGGGGGCAGAAGACCGAGAACTCTTCCCGAAGAGCAGCAGAGGACACAAAGCCATCCGTAGAAGCGCACAGCTGCCAGCCCTGGAGCATGGCCCGGCAATCGATGACCGTCAGGGCAGTGATAGCCTCGCGCCCTACATCTGAAATTTCAAAAGGGTCCGAAACAGCGCAGGCATTCCGGCAGTAAAAGCCGCTCAAGGCAACATCGCTGGCCGGGGGAAGCGCCATTTGAACGAGAGCCGTGCCTGGGATGAGGCCGAAATCACGTACCAGGGCGGCACGGTCGACAACGAGGGAGGTGTCGTCCACCTCAACCCTTTTGTGCCCATTCTCGCCGACAACACAGAAGGAGGACGTAGCAGGGCCAAAGGGTGCGGCAGGGAATTGCTCCCACGCAGCAGCCGACTGAAGCATCTCCTCCAAGTGATAGTAGGGGCCGGGCAGTGAGTGTCGCGGAACAAAGGAAACACAATCTCCGTCTGACAGCTGACATTCTTCATGTGCATTCATGGGGGTCGGTCTAGCCCCGATGTAGACGTCAACAAGCTGAGCATCCACGCACGCCAACGCCACCAAGAAGTCCCGTGATGCAACTGAGGGGCCGCAGGCTGCGTAGAGACGACCATCGACATCTAGAAGGTCCAAGCATAGCACGATCTCCCTCAGGGCCCACTCCGGACGGGCAATGAGGAGCCCTGTGCCCGGAAACGGTTGCTGCGTCACGATGGACAATGACGGAAACAGTCTAGCGCGGACTGGCTCACGCAGCTCTTGCACTGCTTCCAATGCCTGTTGGGCATCTGCAGGGGGGGTCAATGTCACCACCACAGTCTCAAGAACATACTCCGGAGTGAGGAGCCAGAACGCGAGGTCTGCCTCTACAGCACCGGAATCCGACTCACTGTCGGTGCGAACCCGCTCAGCTGCTCTCTGCAGCGCAAACGCATCGCCGGCCTGAAGGTAGGGCCAGACCCTACCTTCGCCCTCAACAAAGTCCCTAGCCTGTTCCACGCGGTCACGCTCCACAAAACTATTTGACTCAGGCTCCGCCAGGAGCTTGAGCACCGCAGGGGTCCTGTCA